AAAGAGTTTCGTTATAAAGAGTTTTCACTGTATTGTGCATTATTAAAATGCATAGTCTTGCTTCTATAATTATAATTTTGAATATCAGGCTTTGATTCTACCTCCAAAATACTCTTTTATTTTAAATAAAAAAAAATTAAATTAATCCGATCATTCTATAGGGCATGAAAGTTTTTTTCCTATAAGACATGTTTTTGTTCTAAAACGCACCGTCTTCGACACCTTTAATAAGTAACCCTAACAACGAAAACTTTACAAACAATTGATCAGAAACAGAAAAACGTGTATTCAGACCGAAAACATATTTATGTTAAAACATTTTCTCATATAAAAAAAAAAATTTGTTGATCTATCCTGTACTGTAAAAAAATATTTTACTGTAATGGCCTTGTTTGGTTCTTTGAGTTTTTATCCCCACCATACGGTTTTTTTAAATTTTGTAACATATTAAAAAGAAAATTGCTCGCCTTGGAATAACGAGATATACCTATGGCTACTGGATAGTAAATACACTAGTAATTAAAGTGGTACAAAATGGCTGAGGTAGTTGTGATCTACCCCTGCAGATATCTATATACTACTTTGAAAGTTTAAACGTTTCATGTTAATTATTAGATAATTCGTATTATTATATATGTTTAACTTAATCACGTTGTTGAAAATGTATCATTTTTTATTCCGGATTTTTAAATCTAAATTTAAAACTCTAGCACTCACTTCTCCAGAATTTAAATTGTGTATTCATTGCGTATTTTATTACAAGCAATTTAATCAAAAATAATAAAGAATGTTTTTATTATCAAACAAGAACAATATAATATAAACATCAATGTAGTGTTGTGCCTATACTTCATTACTATAATATTAGCCATTGGGCACTTAAAGCAATTAATTTTTTTATAATTAAGTAGTTTCAATAAGAACAGAAAACTTCTTATTTCAAGAATCGAGATTTTCTCTACTTATCATCGCTGTCGAGAACGGTGGGTTTAGAATCTTAACTTTAGACAGTTTCTCCTGATCAATATTCACGAGCCTCTCAATGTAGGATTTTCAGTTTATAACGATGTTTTTCTATACATGTGCTTAATCCTATATATTTCGCTCTCACCGTAGGACGTCGGGACGATGTCGATTTTCAAGTGTTCCTCGAAGAGTTCGCGCAAAGCCAAAGCCATCAATCCGGGGCCGCCAACCGTCCTATTGGCTTTGCGCGCCGACCGTCGCGTATCGTCGTAAACTACCGTCGCCAATGCGCAGACTGCGTGGACGAATTGCCAAAAGTAAATCGGTTCGAAGGGATCGTGTGCCGAGACGAACGCATACTTTTTGTTTTTATCTACGTCGAAATTCAGCGTAAAACAATATATATATATAAAATGTATTGTTATCATTATATGAGTACCTACCTACATAAATATAAAATATAAATATAAACATATTATAATAAATAGCTTAAGCTTTGTATACAACGTGTATACTGCTCGCTCAAAACACGTGGAATCCAATTGATCCCTGGGGACGAAACTATAGGTAGGTAACCATTATAGTTGTATAGTGTGTAGTATAATATTATATTATACGTAAAGTATCAACTTCAAGAGTCAAGCGCGCAATCATACAATAATTATACTGCATAACAAGTATAGTCGTAAAGAAGATCATCATCGTCGTCGTCGTCGTCGTCGTCGTCGTCGTCGTCATTAAAGTCGACTACATTATAATATTATTATACCTATATCTAACCGTACGAACATTTAATTTATAATTCACATCTATATATAAAATTATATTATGCACAAGTGACGCATTCGTTGCGCCAAACGTTGTACAGGTGCCTCTCTATTACACACTGTCTAAATGTGTCGCCGATGAGTGAGATGATGTTTTATTTTATAAACGTAATCCCAAATACCTAGTTATTTTAACGATTATATAATCATGCGTCCGTTTTTTGGAATGTGAACACCTGTGCGATAATTTCAGCATTAAAATTTAAAACACTAATAAACATTTCGTGATCTGTGTGCTGATGCTGAATGTATAGGAACTATTGCATTGTTCAGTTTGTGATTGGACTTTTTCATGGCTACAGCCTACAGCGACTGCAATAGACGGTTTAATAATAAAGGAAACTGTAGCGAACGAAAAATAAACGAGATTTCGTAACTATAATACATAATTTATTATTTGTCTTCTATACTATAGTAATCTAGCTTATATCTCATTAAAAAACAAGTCGTATTCTTACGTCTTATAATATGCACAACGCGCATGTTCAGGTGTGTGTAAGGGTGAAGGGTACAGTGCACGTTTCCGGTGGCATCGAACTATTTTTAGGATGTGGTGCAAAAGTTCGAATCAACCACCACCACCACCACCGACCATCATAGTCATAACTATAAGCGATAAGCGCAATTGCTATTATTTGAAAAAGGGCTTAAGGTTAGGAATATTTTATTGTCGTATTGCTGTGTTGAAAGTATTATATTAAATTAGGATTAGGATACTACTATAGTAATATCCAATTGAAAAATTAATTATTGATTAAAATACAAAATGTATCTACCTATATCACACCTTAATTACGTGTTCAGCGACACTGCATTTCCCTGTATCAGACCGCACTACAGTGCTGCAATTAAAACAACAATAATATACTATTTTACACTGAGATATTTAATATAATATGTGTTAAGTGTTTGTTAATAAGTCTGAAATATCTTGACCTTCGTCGGCTACGGGTGATAATGCTTTTTGATATTAATCATGGTGTGTTAAATCGTGTACATACCATTGTTTGTATATTGTCTGCGCTATTATATGTACAGTACGTGGTACGTGTGCAGAGGTACTTTTTTTATTTTTTTTAATGGACGCATTTAGACCAACACAAATTATATGTATTGTTGTGAGATATCACGTTGTCACTTTAAAAAATGAGGAGATCTCTTTTTAACGGAGGGTGACGTTTATATAAGCGGCGGAGTCTTTTGTTTCGTTTTAAGTGCATGATAATCGATGGTGTAAAAGAACAAACAACCGATTTGAATTCTGTTTTTGTTGTACACCGCGTTTTAATGTACTTAAAAAATTAATCGTACGCAAAGCGCGATAAAAAGGAGAGAAAATATTATAGTGTGAAAAAAATGTTGTCGAGATGTGGGTAGATGGGTTGTGAGTATAATATGTAGTTTTGAATCCCACACATTTTGTCATTTCGTATCAATACCTATCTGCATCATAGTGTAAGTACAAATTAAAAACGGATAGGCAATGTTGTAAACGCCGGTCGTCATGGCGGTGTCAGGAAAGAAACGGCGCTAGGAAATTATAAATATAGTTACTGTTTTCGAGTTCTGTCACTTCCGTTATTTTATCTGTAACATTTTCAGTAACTGCAGAGACAGCACTTCTACATAACATAATCGGAAGACCAATACCGATCTATGGTATCCATTGGTCAGGTATATATATAATATTATTGTATTACCTTATTGTTATAATATATAGATCATATTGACAGCGATCAAAGCGTTTGCCGCAGCAGGACGCAACGTGGCGATAAGTATAACTGAGAATAGCGTTAGTTTTGTATTATACTCACACAACAAGTCGTCAAAGTCAGCTAGTGACACATGCTCGTGCAGACGGCCGTCGACAATCATCTGCCAAAGTCCGAGACGAGTCATCAGAGGTCGGTAATCGATCGGTCTGTCGGCCAAGAACGAGCCGTAAGCCCGGTAAAGTTCTGTCAGACGTTCGTCGTACACGCTGAGCGAGCATTCTGCGTCTCGGAGATCAGCCTCCAAGTCCCCGACATGAGAGGTCACCTCGTCCAAATCTTCCCTACACATGTCCGCCATTCTCAGAACATGATCGGTCAGGTCGTAACCACACGGCGTTCCTTCGTCCGCCGAGCTTACCATCTGGATGTCGGCCCGTACCAGACGGGATGACGCGGTTGCCGACCGGAAATCAATATGGGACTCTTGGTCGTGGCTCCCGGAACCAACCAATAGTGGACAATCCACAGCCGCGGCCACTACGGGCTTGTACGAAAGTCGACGTTTACGGCCTGGGGTCGACACAGCGAGTTTGTGACTAGTGTTGGTGGGCGGAGGTGTTACGGGCCGCGTTTCGTAAAGAACGTTGTTGCGGAACACGAGACCGGAAGCCTTTGGCGGGCGACCTGTGGACAAGACCATTTCACACGGACCGTCCAAAGAGTCGTCCACCCAGCGGCCGGCCACCGTCGTCTCGATGTCCGCAGAATAGAATACGCCTAGACCTGTGGTGAGTTTAATGTCGTGTACCTACATTGTGATGTACATAATATTATGATGTTCTATGATGTACAACCTATGCAATGTACATCTAATAGTAAATTAACATTGTTCTATTTTAAGTCTTATGATGTAGGTAACAATAGTTTCTGTTTTGAACGTTTTACGAAAAATAAAATATTTTAACCACTGAATCTTATAGATTGAGCTCGCGTGCATTAAGTGAACTTTTAAGGTCAAACAGTATTCGTCATAGAATAGAAAATATCTAAAAATATCGTTAAAAATAATGACTGACGTTTAGTTTTGAACTCCGAAAGCCGTCCAACCAACCACTGGGCTGTTGTAAATTATAAATAATGTGCTGGTGTCAGTGAAAATCAAATAGGTACCTAATATATAATATGTACAGGTTAATCACAAGATTATGTGTTATTATTATTTGATGATATCGCAAAGAGCTTTGTGGAATGTTCGTCCATCTTGGTTTATGTCACGTGGAATACTGTCAAAATAAAACGCCCTCATCTCTGAGCTTGAACGTTCATTATTCGAATTGAAATAACTCCTCGTACTTAATATATTATAAGTTTTGTAAACTTGAGGTACCATTCCGAAGTTTGACACCTCTAAGTTCTAACGAAACGTGCATCATTTCAAATGCACTCGGCCTTTTCAATTAATAACTATATATATATTATTTTAATCCTCTTTCTATTGCTTGTCCTTACCGTGTTTTTTTGACTTTGACCATTGACCAGTGTACTTGTCACACAAGCACAGGAGCACCAGCCGATCGTAGTCTTGAAGATTGCTATTCCACTCGTATGTGCCTGTACCGTCCATGTGCCCGTCTACCCAATCACCTTCGTAAACCTGTCATTTAATTATAATATACATCAAACATAATATAGTATGTATGTATTATTTACATAAAACTTGTTGTATGGAAATATTTTCTATATTTCTATGACATAAAATGTGAAAAACGCAACTTTGGATGAGATACATAGCCGCAAATAGTGTTTGCGATTTGGGGGGAGGGGGAGCTCTACTATAATAATAATTAATATTAAAAACTTAAAAAATGTAGGAAATGTTTGGGGGGCTACTGGCATTTTTTTTAGAAAGGGGTCAGCCCCTAAAGCCTCCCTTTTCGCACTTATGATGTAATAGCAGGTCTTACAAGAATAATCTATCAGAGTGTTCTGTATTTGTTGAATAATATATTATTGTATTGAAAATGCGTGTTGTTTCTCAGTTAATGTATTTGCGAGAATACCTGATTATATAATTATTATTATCTTAAGAAGATAGAACTCTCGGTGTTGTTTATAATCCAGCAAAATAATTGTATGTTGATACACATATATTGTGTATTGTTATTTTATTATTTTATATTATATTTCTCTTCCAAATACCTTTTGCGTGAGATATTAAAAAATTATAATTAAAATATACATTTTTTTATTCGACATGTACCTATCATTATTACGCTATAATAATATATGATATTAACATGAAGAAAAACTCAATAATTTCAATAATTTAATGAAGGTCTTATTTTTATGTACCAAGAATAGTATAGCAAGTAGTAGACACTAGTCTATAATCAATATAATTGTCTAATTATCACACATATAAAAGAACAACTTCAGGAAAACGATATTTAAGTAAACTGTTTCCCGATTGATTTCATTGAATATAATCGTATAGGCACTAAACAATAATACTTAAAACAAATGAAAACTGATCACTATCCGTATCACTACAATATTATATTGTGCAACAATAATAAAATATCATAATAAATGTACGATTTGTAGGTNACATACTCTTATTATTTTATTTTGCTGTAGTTGTAGCGGTTTTATTACATGCTTTATTACATAATACTTAAAACAAATGAAAACTGATCACTATCCGTATCACTACAATATTATATTGTGCAACAATAATAAAATATCATAATAAATGTACGATTTGTAGGTATATGTACATACATTAATATGTAATATAGTGTATATCATAATGTCGAAGACAGGGAAAAGAACCTGTGAAGTAAAAATATGAAAATATTATGTCTGGATAGGATATTAAAAAGTGTGATATGCATTTTCTTCGAAATACTGAATTGCATAACAAAATATATATTTAAAGTGTCATAGAGATATCTCACTTTCACATATTATAATTTTTTCACGTTTCGTCGATCTTTTAGTGATATTAATAAACAACGGACAATTACGGACTCGTGTACAAAATGTTGGACATACCATAATATGTGTGTTATACTAATTCCCAAAAATATTTAAACCAAACTCGTTGTCTTGTCGTTTTTAAAATAAAAACCATTATTTTAATTTGTAATAATGTTCAGGTTTGTTGAAATGTCACAAAATATACTAGAATAACACTTTCTAGGTTTATAACATATTGTATATATACGTAGCCACGTAGGTACCTAACTTTGTAGAAAAAGTTTGACTGTTTGTGTCTACAGAATTACAATTTCAAGTTATAAAGCCAAACTCACGTTATTATCTCCCTTAATCGTCGTTTAGACTAGAAACTATATTATGGTCTATGACAATTACCCAGCCATCACTACGGACGGTGTTTTTGTGTTGTAACCGCACGTTATAATGAAAATAGAGGTAGCAGGTACCATATAACAATGAGAAAATCCATATATTTTCAGATTTTTTTTTTCTCTTATCCACCTTCTTTTCAACGAAGTTATCGTCATAATAATAAAAAATAATAATGATAATAATAATATATTTATTATTGCGTAATGCCATTACCGCCTCTCGCGTCCCCCGTCCAAATATTCCTCCAGGAATTTAATTCCAAACCAAACACTGTGCGATCGACAAAGAGTAGTTCACCGGCGGCGTTTTATCGCGAGTTCGATGCGATTACGCCGACGAATTTCTTTTAAATTATTTTCCGAATCTTCTCACGTAGTGTACCCATTTTGCCGCGAGTCTACCTAGGACAATATATTTATACACTCACACGCCTATATGTGCGTACTATATTTATTATTATATTGTACTTGAGATTGAGACTCTGACCATTGATTATCTACTTTGATCGCATCGAAGCGTACATTTCTCGCATATACTTTATATACATTTTTACAAGACTTTTTCCAGGTGCCCTAATCTTAACGTACTTACGAGTGACTTTTTCGAAAGATCCATCGCGTCCGTAATGTCTGTCTATTTTACTTAATCTATATAATTACTTTTAAAATTAGACAATAATCAGTAAACACGTTTATTTTTATATTATTTCACATGGAATTTGACCGATTTTGACTAAATAATTGGTTAAAAATATTCGAAAAAGTCCAGAAATATACCATTAAAATCTAGAAATCTCTAAATTTGCAAAATTAGATGTTTAATTTTAGTTTTCTGAATTATGAAACAAAGTTTAAGCTTACTCTGCTATCTCTAAGAATTGTTTAAGAAATATGCCAATGCCATAAAATCCCAACCCTGATAATAATACATTTAAATGAACATTGTATACCAAAGACACAAATAAAGGGATTTTTGGGACACGCCACTGATTGTTATTATTTAAGATCTGGGTGTGATCTATGTCTCGGATACTTCACGTAGGCATACCCACTGGAAATTTAAAATGGTATTCCAATGGTACATATACCAGTATTCTTTCTGAAGACTATCGTGTAATTTAACCGAATTCGATGTTCATAACCCGAAGCAAACTCACGTGGTCGCCCGGCCACACTGCCTTACCGTGGCCTTGCTGCCGGCCGCGCGCCCAGCCACCTGTGTACCGTGTCTCGTCCGGCCAACTCGCCGTGCCGCTGCCGTGTGGCAGCCCGTCCACCCAGTCGCCGGAGTAATTCAACGCGCCGTCCGGTTGGCCGACGCAGCAGGACGTTTCTCCATGACCGTTCCTTATGCCATTCGTCCACTCGCCGCTGTACCACCGACGGCCGTCTTCGCAGGACACGTGCAGTCCTCGGCCGTGCCTAAGGCCCTTCAGGAATTCGCCTTCGTACCAACTGCCGTCCAACCATTTTATGACACCCCTGCCCTCGGGAATACCGTCGTTGAAATGTCCCTGTGGGGGCGTGAAAACATTTTTCTCTGAGCATCCGTGACCCGTCAACAGTGGTCAGGTCATCGCAGAGGCGGGGTGAGGGACTGTCTACAAAAGCTCGCACGATTATTTGGTAACGCGTCGAAATTCAATTACATACGATACAGCCGCGGTTGTCAACGAAAAACCTAACCCGAATTTTATAAACGATAACGCATAATATGAATAATACGATGTTATAATTAGATGGATAATCGACTCTATATTTATATCACCGATGTTTAAAGTAGTCATACCTATGTGACTTGAGCAACGTTTGATGAGAATATTGTTTGCATGATAAAATAAGACAAAACGACCTACCCGACGGTTCATTTTGTACCTAATCTGCTTAATTAATATCTGTAAATTATATTTGCTGTAAAAGTAAAACAAAAACATTTTATAATATTTTTTACTACAAATCCGTTAGTGAATTCGCGAAATCGTTTATTTCATCAATATTCAATACTCTGTAATCAATTCATTGGGGCAGTGCAGTAGTGTATACATTTGATGACAATTATTTGTAACATTGACTTAGTGACAAATGGTTGCTACAGGCATCATAATCAAAAACACCTTGTCGTATATACGTGGTATACAGGTATTCGGTTATTATACATTTATTATGTATGTGTCCAACCAACGGTAAATATTTTTATCACGATAACCGTGATAAGAAACGAATATCTACTTAAGTATTCAAATTATGATTGATAAGTTGAGACAGGTGTAGAATACGTAGGCACTGTTAAATAATTTACGTGTAATAGTATCTATAAATAATAATATTCTACCGTTCAGGTACTCGTCAGCTTATAGTTGGAGCAAATAGGAGAATTACGGTATTATTAATCAAAATAGCGTAAAACGTACGAGGGAGAAGTAATATTATGATACTTTATAGATGTTTCCTTATTTCACCGAACAGACCGTAGTCGACTAATTACACGCGCAAGTAAGCGCCGTATAAGCTCTGATGGAGATTTTTGTGGTTTTGTTCGTACACGGTAGCGGTGGATTCGACGAAATTTAGCTTCTGAAGCTGTTTACATCGGAAATCCGCACATCGCGTTCGGTTTACTCGTATAAGTATACAACGTATATGTGTTTACATGTATGTGGACTAACCGCAGTATTTATAGAAGTTATATGCGCACACCTACGATAAAACTAATTACGCGATGACTGGGTTTTGACTAATTTATAAGTTACCGAGAGCGGGAAATGCAAATGTGATTTTACGATTCGCCGGACGTGGACAATATTATCATAATCGAATAAGCCTGAAAACTAACTGTAGAATGAATAGAATGATGGAGTGGTGAAATGCGCTAACCAGAAACTCCATACACCTATTCAACATATTAATAATCAATTATATAATTGAGAATAAAATCCCCCCAAAAAAAAATTAAATCAGAAAATACTTATTTAAACTTGCAATACAACTAATACCGTAATTAAAATATGTATTAACTGTACGGGAGTATTATATCATTTACGTTTGAATGAGGAAGTACCAAAATGTCGATATTTGAGCTAATTCTCAAGAGTTATGAAACCGATCAAGTTTCAAGAGATTTCGCAAAGTGTATAGTTGATCCGATGACCAACGACCAAGAATACAGAGGCCAAAACATATGACAAGTTAAGTATAATATCGTATGCATCAAAACCTCTTACTCGTATATGTCGAAGCAATTAATTTAACAGACCAATAATATGATGGGATATTAAATGAAGATAAATTAATTTTAAAACAAAAAAGAGGAGCAATGGAAAATATTTTAGAGCTTGGATAAGTCATTGAAAAGCAAAACAAAGTTTAAAGTTTACTTGGATTAAAAATGTATGCGTATTTATTTTAAAAATTGACGATTTTAAGTGAAACAGATGTTTAAAATACTGAAAAGAGCGGGGGGGGGGATGATATTTTATAAGAATAGAAGAATAATCAAAATTGTCTACAAACATGACATGGTAGCATAATGTGTCAATGTGTATCTACTATCTAGTCAGGAAGAACTAAGCCTAAGGAAAGGAGCGAGATAGAGGTGCAGACTATCCCCATTCCTGTTTAACTTATATGAAAAAGAAGCAATAAATAAAGTTAGGGAAAATGTTGAAGCTTATAAAATTATGAAGAATAAAATATATACTTCGATTTACAGTTGCTATTGCGGTGATAATAGTTAGAGAAGAGAGCCTATAGAATATTCTAAGAGCAATCCTTTATTACAAAGAAAAATTAATTAAATATGAATATTGAAAGTTAACAAAGAAAAACCAAACTACTAAAGTACACCAGGTAGTGACACTTTAGAGCAAGTAAACGAGTACAAATAACTTGGAAGTTATGATGGCCGCAGTAGAGATAGTAAGCAAAATAAATCAGGGTAAATGCACATTTCAGAGCTCTAAAGAATGGGCACTTATATTCAAAAAGTATTGACATAAAAGTGAGAACAATATATTTAAGCCTTATGTTTGGAGCATATAGCAGTGTTACATGGACTCAAGGTAAAACAGAACAAAAAATACTTTTTGAATTCGAGACATAGTGTTATAGACGGATGATTACAATAAGTTGGAAAAAACACATTGAAGATGAAAATGTCATCAGAAGAGTCGGGAATACAATATAAGCTTCTTGAAAACCAGAAAATTAAATTGGACTTATATGGTCCGCCATAACGACTTAGTCTACTTAGTATAATAATAGAAGGTGCCCATAGTATGTAAGTATGCATGATTTATTGAGAGGGAAAATATAGCGGTGGAAGACCGCTTATGATAATCAAGTAATAAAATACTCTAATTATCGAAAAGGAAAGCGGAGAAACTCGACGAGTGAAGAATTGCTGCCAACCATCCTTTAGTCAGCTGTTATAAAAAGAAGAAATCCTATGTAAAGTATAGTTATAATGTTATATTGTACATTATAAGGTCCTCGTTATACCGATATGTAAACTTACTTACGTTGACATTAGGTTGCAAAAATCTTACCTCGTAAATGGCGCCGCCGTCCAGACATAGACGTCCCGTGTTGTGTGGTATCGATTCGGACGTGAATCCTTCGAACACGTTACCCGATATGTACGTTACCCGGTCCATGTTTTCTGTTTCACCAACTGTTCCAAGTTTTTCTTGAATTTCCACGGTGTCCGATAATGACAGCTCTTCTTTGCTTTAGTAAAGAGTGGGTTTCAAAAATAAATAATAAAGAAGGATAGCAGGCAACCACTCGATGTACAGTAAGTTGTAGGCGTCGAGCGTACCTCGTAATTGAGTAAATCACACTGTAATGTATGTGTTCGATTTGAATTCAATGATACATATCATTGCATACGTAAAACGATTCTAAGCGAGGATGGTCTATCAGCGAATACTTATAAGTATGTTTTACAATATATTTATACTGCGATTAAAGTAATTTATTTTACTATTACCTATAGTAATAATGTACCTAATATGCGGTAGGCCAAATTAATTTTTGCAGAAAACATTGCATTTTAAAATATCATTGTGTGTATAAAATATAATAACATGTGTAAAAGTATAGAAAAACGTTTAAAAAATGCTAATATAAACATTTATTGAACGTTTGGTAACATATCAAGTATTTATGATAATTTTTTTGATAATTTTTAAAAATGCTGGTAATTTTTTTATTTTTGACCCCCTAAAGCACCAAAATAGAATACTAGATCCAATTCGCTACCAGAAGTCTAAAAACCATTCTCGACGTTGAAATTATTAGTATTTTTTCCATAGTTAGAAATAGTGTCTTCAGACACAAAATAAAACATACATAATTTTGTAAAATCATCACAAATTATCACAAATAAAATAATTTTTGTCATTACAACATGCCCGTATAATAATATCTGACTAGGTATATCGTATTATCGTTATTTAATATAATTACATAAATGCAATAAATTTAATCGTGTTAACGTTTTTGTAATTTCTGATTTTAATGTTACTTAGGATTAAAAATATATTGTGTCTTACTGATCAATAACGTAACCGACCATCGAATTGTAAAATGTCGCGTTCAACTCATGACGGGCTTCAGCTTGTATGACGTCAGGAAGCGGCCATTCGTCGAAGCTTTCCAAAAATCTAAACGATTTTTCCGGATCCCCTGACGTAAATATTCGAATGACAATAAAATTATAAAAAATAGTATATTACAGTGTTATGTGAAATGCGTATAATGGAATTTTCTCTCTCTTTAATTTAAATAAATCTGATATTATTATTTGTTGGACTTTCATAATAACAATCGTAAGTCTCTAACATTTGTTTTAATATTTATTTCATTTTGGAGAAATTATTTTTTATTTTACATATCACACGATATTACATGTTAGTGGTGCATAGTATTTTATCAGTACACGCGGTGGCAAAAAAATTCTGTGTTACAGTTTAAGTTAGTGTCTGTAAGTCGTACATGTCATAAAAATATGCGAATGTGAAATATAAATCGTGCTTATTACACAATTTACATTTGTGATATTTTTGCAATACATAACAATTGATTTTGTTTCAAATATTATTTTGTGTTCTAACGTCGTATTATTATATCAAACAAATGATTTATTAAAAATATAATTTGTTTTCATTTTATCATCTGATAATTTTTTTGATGTTTTTCATACCTACATAATATTGAATAATCATGACACAATGTGTGTTTCACCAATAACTACATCAACGTAATAGGATTCAAACAATTCACCCAGAAAGAAATTAAAAATTCTCGTAAAATTCTTAATATTTTATTAGGATATATTACGGAGTAGAGTATATATTTTTGATAACGGTAATTTTACAAACTATTTTGAATGTGTAAGTTGAGAAAATTTATATGAATACTTATCCGATTTGATCTCGTGACTCGTACGATTTATTATCATTATTGTTATTATTATTATTATATCTAACACCTGCAATCAGGATTATTCAGAATTGTTTGTTTATATGAATATATTATTTTCTTTGCAGTGCTCCATCTTATCGGGGTCATTTTGAAGTTGTAATCATATAATCATGAAATAAAATAATTATTCTCGAACGGCTTTCCGTAAAATAGGTTTTCGGGTTATTACGTACAGTAATTATTATTTAAATTAATAAAACGAAAACCTTCAACAACGTAGGTACACGTAGTGTTGGAAAGTTTTCAGATAACTTTGACGTTATTAACGTGAGTATAAACTCAAGTTGTGGTATTTAAATGTTTTAAAACTGAATGTTTTCGGAAAGCGTATAATCGATCGTTGTTCTTATCCATGCGCGTTTATATGAGCGTATTAAACGTCGTATAGTCTTTGCCGATAAATCCGTTCAGGTAGGTATCTAACAGATTACGTTTTCATATAATTTATAGAAGACGCATTGGCAGTGAATATAATAGCGACTGTAATTAATTGGTTATTAAGCTCGGTTCACTCGGATTTTACGAGTATCTCATTGGGCGTTTTAGGAATTATGAGTTGGACCCGAGCCAGTTTGGTGTGTATATAGATTATACATATAATATTCGTCCAACAATTTCCGATGTCTCTCTGTGGTAACTGGTAATGATATGTATATAATATTGTCCGCGGTTGCGTTACTATTGCGCATTTAATACATTTTGATCCGCAAAATCGGTTAGGTATTTCAGTATAAAATATCAATATTTTTTTTTAATCTTTATTTTTAAACGGTCCTTATTGACGTTTACTATTGTGCACTCAACGCAATTGCTTACACTCCGGAATGGCAGAGAAATTTAATTTGACCAAAAGCCCAATACATTATATTATCTTACACGATTCCGATGTTATATACGTCGTGTAGGGGAGAAATATAACTAATAATAATATTTTAGATTGTTTCTATTATGTCGAGTAGAGGTATCCTCTTCATATTTTTTTTTACTATTTCGAAACGTAAATTCAAGTATCAATTTATTTAAATAGGAATGATTTATATTTTTATGTAAAAAAAAAGGAACGGACAGAATATTGTACCCAGACGGGTGTTGCGGTACTCGTCGGAGCTCGGTATTTTAAGTGCACATAAAAATAATTTACGAGTTAAGATTTTTATAATGTATTAAATACATATCATATAGTTACGAATATGAAACGAGTAACCTTGTATGGTCAACGTTTTATGGTAATGATATTGCGTCTCTAAAACACTTCTATAATTAATAATGTATGTAAATAAGTAATGACTATGCACAAAATTTAAAGAAAATTCTAGAATTATTAAAAACGTATTCTTATTACTCGTAGATCACCGTTAATGTGATAATTGCATAACTAAAGTTGTATCTTTTAAACTTTCTAGAAAATAGTAAAAATTATCCCTTTGTTGACAATACAATAATTTTCAGTGAGGAATATCAAGGAAAGACTTGATGTCATAAGACAGCTTTAGAGACATTCTACTCGTGGTATAGTTTTTACCTTTACTAAAAACCTGACCGATAACCATTTTTAGGATATTGTATAAGTAAAGTATAGTATAATATTTATATTAAAGTATTTTTGTATTATTTTTTTTTTTTATTGAAGTATATTTTAAATTATCAAATACTTTTGAGTTTTTGACTGAAATTTCTTAATTTTAAACTTAAAGATAAATAATTATAGTCTTTCATATTTAATATAAAAGTTCATTAAACCTTAAACAATAATTATTGTAATAATACAATTTTCACTATCTTAAAATTGAAACATTTTTGTATGATAAATTCAATATAATTTATTAATTTGTCTCCTTAATAATAATAATGCTTGTATATTTTTATATTTTGTAAGGCTGTTTCTATTATTCAAACAACTTTACTTATTTCTGTTAAAACTTTAATAATGTGTGTTAAAAATTAAAATATAAGTTTTTATTATACAATTGAATTTTAGAATTTATTTCAAGCATATAAAATAGCATGTCTTAAATAACAGTCACGAAAGTACTTTAATATTATACAAAGGCCATTTGTGATGAACTTTAATTGAACATCCACTTTTTTATATGAAAATTGAGTGAGTGCAATTTAGTACTCTAATGTCTGAAGAACAAATATATTTTGGCGTACTTATACAATTTTCAAATAAAGTTGAATAAATAATAAAAGAATAAAATGCTTATTAAAATCATTTCCTCAGAGAATTTACCGTTTTTTTCATTTTTAATGTTTATAAAGTACAATAAAAACGTTTTAATTTTTCAAACGAGCAATGAACAAAAAAACAACAAAGTTTTCTGCTGTTTACTATTGTATGTTTTTTTATCGACTTCTTTAATTATTTTATTCAATATGTTTTTAGAGTGTAAATTATATTACAGTATAATATCGTCATTACGTGACGAACAGATACATAAATTGTTTTATGTCGAAATCTTAATGTTTTAAACTTGGTGAACGAATATAAATTATCTCAAACAAATGACAACACTGAAATGCTGAAATGCTCACACTTACCTTTTGGTTCGTCGGAAGAATTCATTTTTGTGACAAATTGAGTTAAAGTTTTGTTTGCAACAGAAATACCTACGAACAAATTCAGATCAATGCGCCCGTGCATCAATAAGTAATGGCTTTGTGTATTGGTCACATGGCAACTATCACTTTTTATGTTACCTACCTATTTTATCATCCGTAGACTGTATATGTGATTGAAAAGGTTATTTAAAAAAAAAACACAAAAGTTCTCTTTTCACCTGGACCTCGTCTAATAATCTCAAAAAATTCAAAAGATATTTTTGGCAGTTGTACAAATATTAAACACCCACATACACGTCATTGAACTGTAACCGGTGTGTCTCTTATAAGAAGAAGTTAAAAATAACACTGCCAACGACGTCAACGAACTTTTCCAATAAATTATGACAAGCGGAACAAAATCGAAAGTCTTCCACCACCGCCACGCTGTCATATATTATCGGTCCGGGACACTTATTTTTCAATGCTCGAGAAACGAAACCGTAAATGTTTTTTGGTATGTTAAAAGTTGTACCAACTGACCCGGATACGCCACCGCCACCATCGATGCCTTTTTTGCGGATGTCGAACGTCGAAGTCGAACTTTTCCCGACTCGCCCCGGGCTTTCCATATATTATTATCGTACTACGAGGTTATCGTCTCGTCGAGGTGTACCAAAACCAGCTTCTGGTCTCCGTCAATAAACAGAAAAAAAACTTATAAACTAGCAACCGTTATTCGTTAAACTTGTCTACGTTTATATTTTAAACCCAAAGAGATAGCTTTTAATTCTGACCATACTGTTTAGACGGGTACGACGAGTAAAAACTGTGATTGACGATCTGCAGCGATGTGCGGGCGTAGTTAGTTTTCATAATAGTTATCATATACATTTATGCATTCCGAGAAAGTATAATATTATGGATGATATATCACGAGCAATTCAGCTACACCGTGAGGTGCCATCAAATTCCAAGAACTTCCTGCAAGTTTGTATGTATACAAATATTGATTTATAAAAATTAGTATTTACGATAATTTAAGAGAACTCATTAAACATTTTTTTCATGCGTTTTTACCGAAAAAATAATAATTTATAAACAAACATAAATAGTACTAAATTAATATAAATTTAAATAAAAATAAATTTTTCATCGATTAGGTATGCACGAACGCATCCAAAAGTAATCTATTTTCTATGTCGTTTATAATATTTTGGATTTCGCATAAGCGTTTGATCGACAGCATCACAGGGACGTTGCTTCGGTACTCTCGAATAGAGTTTAAATATTTTTACTCGATTTACATATTAAAATTAAGCTGTTCCGTAGAAACATTAGCACTTTAGTTACAGTAATTACCATATTTATCGTTTGAAGAAATGGTAGTAGTTAACTTAATTATACCCGTGAGATTAAATTGAGACGACAAGCTCGTGTGTGAAATAATCATTACCTAATCTAAATCCCAACGAATGTTTGCTAAATTGCATACTGCCGCTGCAGCGTACGAATAATGAATACAAATGTATGGTGAGAATTATTTTTGGCGACACACACACACACGCACACACACACATATAGGTATATAGTAAACTAAATTGTCAGAGACAGAGTTTGCATAATTTCATATAACATTTATTACAATAAATTAAAGGTTAGTTTAACGGTACACATTGTTTTCCTTATCTAAAATGTATAATATATTTTTTCATACACTTTTAGTAGGTAAATAAGTAGTATAATATATTATATATTAATATATATATAATATATATATATAACTATTTTTATTACTTTTTTTGGTTGTTTTGTCATATAAGAAATATTAACAATTTGAATAAAAATAATAATATTTAAAGTTTTTGATTAAATAATAATATATGAAACATAACACGTCAATCACTGTACAAAATATGGAAAATAGTATTGCAAAACATAAACAAAAACAAACACATACATTTTAATGACTCATAATATTATAGTTTAAATCAAAGGTTTAAATAACAACAATCAAAAAAGGCTAGAACAATATTAATTTACGTGGATAATAAATTATATTAATGTTTTAATAGTATCATAATAATATAATGTAAGGTAATGTTACTGTACCGGACGCAAAATATAAACTAGTTTTGTTCATATTTGATTTTATAGCGTTATAATTTACATAAACAGCGCACCATTAGTAGTTATATTTATATATCAATATGTCAATATGTAATCGTCATAGACTAGAGTAGGTAAAAGAATGTTTAAAAATTAGTATACACGTGCTGTACATAAATCTCAACCGTAAGTAGTATTATTTTTATAGCGTAATTTTATACAATACATCTTAAGAAAAAAACAAAACAATAACAACATTTAGAGCAAAATAGTTTAGTAGTAGTAATAATAATAATAATAATAATAATAATTATAATTTTAACCTATGGTTTTATATGTATTATAAGTTACTTTTCTGAATAATATGTGTATACTTAATTTTCGCCGACATTTTGAATGTCTGGAAAAAATGTATATCAAAAACAATAAGCAAATGTCGAACTGTTTTACAAGTGAGCAATACTGTGCATCACTGTTCGTGATCGTCTTTCGGTTTTCGGGTTATCGACAATAATGTACAATAGGACAATAATAATATTATACAATAGGCTTACATCATAACATATAATATAATATCATCATTGGTCGATTGGCTGTAAACACAATACGTATACATAAGGTAAAATATGATTCATTATATAATACATAATATATGGTGGTGTAGTAGGTATATAATTTAAAAAAAAATAAACATTTTTTTAATCATTATTTTTAAGCTAATCAGTAACTTTTTCAATCTTTTTTCATACATTTTGACATCCAATAATAATAATCTTAGTAATAATAATAATAATGATAGTTATAATATAATATAGTAAATACACGTAAAAAACTGTACACGTCCGGAAAAGAACGCGTCGCCGACGGACACCCGCGGTTCGAGCATAATATTATATTATTATATGTACATAGACTCGTCACCGCCGCATGGGTATTAACACGATATTAATATTAAAAATCATAATTGATGAATTAAAATAATGGTAATAATTAATAGGGAAAACAAATCGACTTTGCTCTACATTATCCGTGGCGCGGCGAAAAATGTACTTCGGTAACATATTATTTTTATTATGCGCTTTCTTGCACGCCCTCGGACGTGGTTTTTCCGTCGGCAACGTCATGTAATATTTTTCGAGGGGGGGGGGTATTTTTCTTTCTTTTTTATTGAATAATATTATTTGGTATGTAAGTCGTGTTCGGTCGGTTCGGCGGCGGCGGCTGCTGTACCGCAGGCTCCTCGCGATCGGGTCCCGAGCGGAATCGCCCGTTTAGACGATCATCGAGTACACTGTCCGGACGGCCAGGTCGACGGCGAAAGCAGTCGTCAGCAGCGCGGCCCTCGTCGAATGGCTGGAGCTGAGTCCCAACACGGCCGACAAGGGTCCCAAGAGGCGGATGGGTATCTGAGTGCCGGAACTGTGTCCCCGCTGTATGGCTGCCGGATGTTCGCCTGAGAGGACGGACAAAGAAAACAAAAAAATACGATTTTTTACTATGAATTCGGTACATGACAATATCATTATATTTATATCATGTTTTATATTATTTCAGGCCAGACGAATGGGCGATACTCGAGGACAGAAAACGGATCTCGCGTTCCCTCTTGGAGTCGGTTTACCATTTTATTCAACCCCTCAGCGCTCATGAGCCGTTTTAATAGATCGTGTCGCCATTTTCACGACGATCAGCAGCTTTAGCTATACACTGTGAAAGGTTTCTACTGCTGCAGTAATAACAACGAGTTTCAAAGACTAAAATATTGTTTCGGGTCAGATAATACAATGTGTGTGATTGTATAACATTTTATACATAGTATCAGCTACTTATATCGTAAATTGTATTATTCGATAATAATTTAACCCGTACGACAAAAAATCATTTAGGTTCTCTGTATTCTTCCAATTTCGCCATAATTTATTTATTTAAAATAAAATACTATGGAGACTAAAAGACATCTCAGACATGAAGCATCTAATTATTAACATTTTTAAATTTAATAAGTATGTACAACGTTTTAGTTAACATATCAAACAGAATATAGATAAATATTATGCGCATGCAAGTAATTTACAGATATGTTTTGAAATGTTTTAAAGGGACTATCAATTTTTCGTCAGTCGTTCTACTTTCCTGATCAACCGTCTATATGTTAGGGTGATCACTCAAGGGATGTGTCGAGGGGAAAAGGGCCGTGTTGTTATTACTGCAGAACATCGCAACAGTGAATCGAATTTCGGTGTCGTACAACTTGTAAACGGGCCGTTGTTCCATGACCGATACACCATTCACGAAAACTGAAATTGTTTCAAGCTAGCGATAACAGTGCGTGGTAAAATGTGGGCGCAGAAAACACACAGCATCCTGTAAGACCAGCTGATTTCATGGCTTAAATATAATGTAAACAGAACGGCTGCTTTATTATACCGGAGTATGTTTTATTCCGATTCTATTGTTTTACCGACACACCCCTCCACCCCCATGATCAGTTCAGACGGGGAAAAGTAATTTTTTAGCCTTCCTTGTACGTTTGTTTGTACGTAGATGCACAATTGTACTTAAGAGGATTGTTTTAGATATGCTACGGTGATTCTGTTCAACGATAATTATTTCCCCTCTCCTCTCGTTCTGTTTGTAACAAATCGCGTCCAAAAAATTGAAAATATGACGGAATTCAGTATTTTATTGCGCATTCGCGTCCGTTAAGTTCATTGTGATGCTGTTCTGCTCTAATCTATATTGGATATTTTTCAGCGCATTTCTCATTAGTCCAATCCAAATTAATTTAAGTTACATAGTATACTGCTATGCTTAACTTTATTAATGTTTAAAAAAAAAAAAACCGAACTTGTTACGAGAAATTATACAAAATAACGAATTAGTATTTGAAGATAAAAACTATAAGTTGAGATTATACGAACATTTTTCGTTGTTGGACTTAAGAACAAAAACATAAATTTGAGTTCCAATTTATTTTGTATACTGACTAATTGAAAGTTTTTCATATAATTTGTACAGTTTATCACAAATACTAACTGTCAGAATCAATGTCCAATGAGATAATGTTCGAATATTGTACAAACATATTTTCAAGTAATGTATTTTTGAAAATTAAATTAATAAAGTTTATATTTTACATGTAATATAATTACATTGCATTTTTAGAGAGAAACTTTAAATCACACTAAGAACCTAAATAAATGCTGTAGTTTTAATAGATAACCAACATATTTAAAAATATGTACATTTCTAATTACGTAATATAAAATATAAATGTACCTAATTGCATAGAAAATAATGTTTCATTTCAAAGCTACTAATTTATAAAGAACTAACTCCCATGTTAAACTAAACTTAAGTAATTTATGTAGATTTTAAAAATTTACATTTCATAGTATGGTAAAAGTTTATTTTTAATTAAGCGCTGGATTTTTTTTCACTTATAGATCAAGGAACACTCCGATTATTATTTATTACTTAAATACTTAAGGAATCACACTGATGCCTCGGAGTATAATATTTTCAAGTTAACTTTTTGAAAGTTCTATATACAGGATAGTAGTTGCGGATACCATATGAATATTAATGAGCTCTCGGAAGTACTTTTAGAAGATATAATTTCCTATGTTCGCGTTTTTATAGTAGCCTAGTAGTGGAATAAGATTAATCGTTTATTGTGTTTACATTTTCGAATATCCGATGAGTTAGCAATTTTATAGTATTAAAATTAAATTTTCTATCGCTAGTGTAGTTTGTTGGAGTTGAAAATTCAGACGGAAAATCGATAAAGTAATCTTAAGAAGTGATTTTTTTTCATAAAATTGATACCTTGGGGCCTGGATGCTATTTACTTAAGACTAAAGTACCATTATTTAACGTTACGTGTAATTGATACGTTTTAAATTTATGTATCTACAGCAGTTTATATACTAATTTTCGACTCGTATCATATAATACGATTTAGTATTTACCTTGCTGGGGTGATTAAGAGTAAAAAAAAATTAATCAAAAGAAGAAAATTTAATTTAAGGTACAAGATTCACAATATTCGATGACGCGTAGGGCGTCCGTCTATTAAGTCAACGGTATTTATAAGAGTGATCGAGTTCTGGACAGAAAATTAGACGAAGAAAAATATGAATAATCGGAATATTATACAGGTTTCGAATAATTCCGGTGAATTTCAACTGTGTATACATTATAATATAATATTATTAAATATTATATTCTATGTACGCTTATGCACACACACATGACCTACACGCGCGCTCACATCTCATTCGTCTCCTGCCTCGCGTTAATATGGAAATGTATTCACGGCGACCGTTTTTATAATCCTACCCAATGGCAAATTTAATTAACACGTCGTGCCGTATAATATTACCCGGTGTTGCTAATTTTTGCGCTCACTCGAAACCGTATAGGTATATTATTATAAAGCCATCCTGCGCACTAGAACACTAAAGTGCGCTGACAATTATTTCGGCACGATGGTGATAATATCGTGTCTTGCTCCCACGACGACGACGGTGTGTGCCGGTGCTGCTAAGAAGTTTGTCCCCAACTGCAACACACACTCACACACACACGCACACAAAATAAAGGTACGTGCTTCGCACAGCAGTCGTCGGTTTCCAGCGTCGATTTATCGTTTTGGCGCAGATCTCGCGGGCGACCAGAAACGTTATTGCGTATACTATGAGTATACACAGGAGTTGTCAGTGGCGTGCCCAGGGGGGAGGTTAGGGGTTATATCTCCCCATATTGACCCGTAAATCCTCCTGTCCGTGTCCTTGGCACTACCCACTCGATTTATTTAAACGTATTATTACTTGGACCCTATAGTCACTTTGAATGATACGTCGTACAGTATTATGTACATTCTACATATTGTACATGTGATTGTAAAATATAAGTTAAAAATTCACCGTCAAAGTATTTTTTTTTTCAAAGCGCTATTTATATTTTAATAATAATAAAAACAATATTTTCGTATCTCGTCGACGACTGCAAGCGAAATACGCCAATAAATCGTCTGCTTATTCAATTTTTACCCCACCAGTTTCACCCATTCATCTACGAAACGATTTTTATATTTTAAGATCGAGAACGACAATTGTTTGAAAATTATTCCTGAATACCGGATACGTTTCAAATTATGCATCAAACAATATTCAATGTTATAGTATCTTTTGTTTCGAATCTTTAGTCATTTTTTGTCACTGCAGTCGCGGTTTATTTCATTCTAACCGATTTCCGATGCTTAAAAATATAACATTATGAACAATTAATGGTTGTGTATTATATGCTTTAAAACCCAATGATTAATGGAGGCATTATTATTCATTTTTAAGTATCTTTTATGTTTCAGTTTGTATAAAAAAAAATATTGTTTTAGATGAGATACACCGCACTTAATAAATTACTTACGGAATAAACAATTTGTTTTTTTTTTAAATGTTCAATAACAATAAATAAACATTATAATTGGACAATTTGCAAGTATTAAAAGTATTTAAGAAAAATACAACACAGTGAAAGCTACTTTCAAAATAAGGCTGATGAGAATGTAAATAAAATATGAAGATTATATTTAATTTATTCAAATAAACTGTTATATTAAACCGGGTTCTATTTATTAATTATTGGTTATATCATAAACAATTATTTTAAACGCTATTGATGTATAAATAACTGTGTTAGCTCTCTTTAGAAATCATATTAACTATTGATTAAAACAAAAATTGTCTAAACAATAATTTGGATGGTGTATTCAAGGTGAACGGAATCGAGTTCCACTTAATAATAGCAGAATAATTTTCATTAAGTTATATTAGGGGACATTAGAAGACGGCATTCATAACGAGTAATTTGAAACATGTGTTTATTTTCGGATCGTTAAACATTTTATCCTATAAAGGTAAGTAGTATTCTTATAAATTATTTATGTATTTCTTTAAAGATGTGGTGATGATTTCTATAAATGGTATAATGCACAAATATAATAATAATACAAACATACAGTATGCAGTATGCACTAATATTCTAAATGTATAGATTATTTTAAACAACATTTTGTGCGTTTTTTATTATTGTATTTACAACACGGCCCTAAGGTTTTGTTCATAAAATGTAATTTTAATAATTTACTTTATATTGTTTGCCATTTTATAGAATAAAAATGTATAAAATACATACTGAAAACATAAAAATTGTGTACATTAATACAATTTACATTTTCCCTCGATTTTGTTGAGACATATAAGTGAATTTTCTATTTATATAATATTACTACAAAAATACCGATATACTTTTTTTTTATGCCTAATGAATGTTGTATATCATTCAATTTAAGAGTTTCAACTGTTTCAAGTCGACGTAGTTTTGTAATATTTAAATCAAGCGATTACTTTCTGAAAGACATCTAGACACCGATGTACCGATATTGCCTATACATCGCGCCGACGAAATGATAGTTTTGCATACAATTTTATCAAGAATAACAGGATAATTTTTTTTTAAACTGAAATCAGTACACGTTTGTTAAGCGTTGTATATTTGAGCGTAATTCGAATAATGGTTACAAATCACTAGTAACACGTTTATTGTAAGACTTAGCCGCATTAGAAATTAAAGAATCCCAATAAACTATACTACAACAAATATTTTTCTCGCTTTTCCTAACGTTTATTATTTAAAAGAAATAATAACTCAAATAGTTTTCGGCCCGAAGAAAAAATATTAAATAAGATTTGTGTGCGGAGTTTGACACTTTAAGTGCTTTCGTTGTTTGTTAAATTTTTTTATAGCATTCGTATACTTTTGAGTAAGTTACAATGATGTTATTTATTTGTTCATAATTTATGAGTAATTAAACGCTAGCGGTGTAATCTAAAATTCGAACCCAAGGAAACCTAACATCTGTACCTTATAACTTATGATTTATTTGATCCGAGTTATTTCCATTCGATTTCGCGGGGAACGAAAAACGCATTTGTTAAGTCAAACACTTCAAGTACAGCAGAGGGATCACGGTTATATATAAATATATATATATTTAGGCAGTATGAGCCTGCACGTACAGTTGAATCGTTCGTGAATATTATAATGGCCATTGCGGTAAAGGGATTTCGGGAGAACAACAGACTGCTTAGATTTGAATAAAATCTGAACCGAATAGGTCGGGCCGCCTGCTCGTGGTAGCTGATATTAAAATTGGTTAATTTTCGTCGTGTGCAGAGAGGAACGCACCGGCTTTAATAAATACTATCAGTAAAAACAACGGCGAACGATGATAATCTCATAATAATAATAATAATAATAATAATAATAATAATAATAATAATAATCTAATTTATAATTAACTGCGACAATATTGTAGTGCGATATATTTTTGTCTGTTGCGTACCGTTCAGGACGTGCAGGTACGCGCTGGCCGAGTCCAAGTTGGACGGCTGACACGTGTAGTTGCCCGAGTCGTGCAGCACCGCGTTGTTGATGGTCAACGTGGCCACCATCGTGTTGGCGTCCAACCTTTCGCTGCTGATCACCTTGGCGCCCTTGCCGTAGTCCAGCACCCGCTTGTTGTTCTGGTACCAGAATATGTAGTCCGGGTCCCGGACGCTCTGCCGGATCACGCACTTCAGGCTCACCGAGCTGCCCTCCATCACGTGGATGTCCGACTCGCCCATGATCTCGATCTTTGGCACTAGACGGGTGGGTAAACGTATTTATATTTCGCGATTTTCATTGTGATTATTTACTAGAGTTGTCGGGTTTTCAGACCATTTCGGTTTAATCGTCGGGCGGAGATAGCGAATAATGTTATTAAAAAGCTTTTTTTCCTCGGAAGATTTTCCGCCACAACAATAATCGTTTTTGGTTTTTAATTTTTATCAGAAACAATATTGTTGATGACATAGTTTGTCTATGGCGTGTAAAACGAAAACACGCAAATTTTAGTGTGTTGGCCACACTATTCTGAGATTAAAATCGATTACAATAGGTAACAAAAAGCAAAATAAAGTAACATAATATCCCCAGGGAAAGAAGGGGTTTAAATTTAAATCGATTACTGAAATATTTCGTAGTGACTTAATTTTAAATATTAATGCACCAAATTTTCTTTTCAACAAATATGACGTGATCAAATATTGTTTTTGAATATAATATTATTATGTAACTCCGATAATTTAGAAAATGAGTGTAAACTCGTATAGTCGTAATTATTTATCAATAGTGTAATAATTGAATTTTATTATAAAACGCATGATTTTGACTTTTAATTAAATTCGATCAGACTATATTATGTAAATTATATAACGATTATAACGTTGAAATGTAATTAAAATAAACAATAACTGATATTGTGGGTATGTATTATATTCATATGCACACATTTCGGTCTTATTTTTGCAACAGTCACAAATTACGACGTTTGAATATTTATAAATGACATACGCATAATATAAGAATAATGTTAAAATATTGTTTTTTTTTTTTAGATTACTCGATACTTACCTACGACATTGAGCTGAACCAAATGGCTCATTTTAGGTGATGTATTTATTTGACATTCGTAAATGCCGGCGTCCCTGGGCTGCACATATTTTATCTGCAACGTCCACGTACACGTGGGCTCAACTAGAAATATTCGGAACCTATCGTCGGCGATGAACAACAGCCAATCGATGGTGAGTATGTGCGAATCCCGCCGCCGTATCCATGACACCTGCAATATATAAGCCCGCATAGATTTATATTAAATCAAAGTAAACTCGATAAAATAAATTATATAAAAATAACAAAATGAAATTATTACGATTTTCCACATAATCCAGGTTTATGTTTTTAATTAATAAAATAACCGAGAGATCGAAATAAACTTGGCATGCTCAAGAGAGGGTTGTTTGGGGTAACGAAATGTGAAATTAAAACTTGGGTATAGGTAAAGATAAAAAGTTACGCTGGCGGGGTGCCACTGCAGTATGAAACAGAAATGTGTAGGAAAAAAATAATTTATTAATATGACAAAAAAAACCTAAATATGCTTTTAAATTAATTTGAGGGTACTTTAGTGAATCGTTAGTATTGCATTTAGTTATGATAATTTAACAGTTTTATTTATTTTATATATTTAATGAATACAATAGGGAAAGACGGTGCTGATATATTTTATTCATAATAAAATACATTAATATTTATTTATTTTATTACAAAACGAGTCTTAGCCCAAAGTACAGAAAAAAATGTATATATATATATTATACATACAATACACAAGAAAAATATAAATCATAATATTTACATAGAAAGAAAATGATGGGTCTTCATTAGCAATAAGCATTAGAATAATAATTATTAGTAGTGCAAATGGGTATGAAAAAGTATATGTTATATTATATTTAAATTGTTGAATTAAAATTATTATGCACAGTACTCGGTTATAATTTATAAGTAAATGTAATTATCATTTTTGTCTACTAAGTAAGTTTATTTATTACGAGGACAACTATATTAGTTTAAAAACACTTTAACGAGTTATTTTCTTCAGGAATGTGTGTAATCAATTTTTTTCCGTATAATTATATCCAGTTTGATACTTTTTCAACGAATACCTATCTATAGCATAGCACTTATCGTTTAATCATTCGAAAATGGGTTTGATTTTAATTATAAACCATTATATTATTATGTTATTGCACTATACCAATATTCAGCAACCTGTACATATCGATTAGCCATTATTCGGTCCATTATAGTTGCTCTTAACGGCCATTGTGTGCTAACTGCATAAGTGGAGTGGTAATTTGATATTCCGCAAGAAGATTTATGACTTAATGCAGTTTAAGTACAATTGGCCACATTTGGCAAATTATTCGACATGCAATTACATTATGTACCTAATTCTATTACCGCCGAGGCGTCATGCAATTACATTAGAATTGGACATGATGATTTTATCCAATGATATTATTGTCATATTCGTACTGAAACGGCTGTGTAAGAATTTCACCCGAAGTTAAAAATATAAGACCTAGTAGTTTTGTGTTTGGCCACCGATGTGTTTGTGAAATGAAACATAAGATAATTGCACAGACAAATATAACTAACTGTAATAACAATGGACACATTCGAATTTCACAGGGAAACATTTAGACTTTTTAATTATTATCAAATTTTAGAGTTGTCGTACCGTAAAATGTTTTCAAAAAAATAATAACTCAATACTATTATGGTTTATGTACGTCATCCAGTAGGCAGTAGGTTGGGGCCTGCAGTATATTGGTATTCGTTTTGGATGCATAGGGTGAATTGTGCGATTTTTTTGTTATGGGATGAAAAACGAATTGGAATTCGATAAAAACTCAAATATTCGCTATTCAGTCTGAAAATTCGCTACGTGAATTTATTTAAAAAAAACTTAATCCCGTTCTTCTTCAAAACGAGCGTGTACTGCTGCACCATAGCTGTGTATGACATTATGTCACGTACATTTTATTCCGACGCGTTTGGGTATTTTTAGGAAATTTCACGATATGTTTTTCTTAAGGAGAGACGGCGGCGGCTTATGGTAGTAACTGTGAGTTAATGGATTTTTGGCGAGTGGGGCGTGATTGGGTAGTGGTGGCGGGGAAAGAAATAACAATAAAGTATAAAGGTGGGTTATTTTTTTACTCCATGCTTTTCGCGACAATAACACGAGTTTAAATGGGGCGCGTTACTGTTCGGCAAACTTAACGGTCCCCCCAGATTCATTTTTACAATGTCCCTGTCCATCGCAGCCTTTCCGCCACGCCGATCGCCATTCGCCGGCTGCACCCCGCCGGCTAGACCCCTAGAACCCTCCGCCACCGAACGCACAGTGAGACACATATACTATATTGTAGAAGCACATATTTTTTAACCGTCAATTCGCTCACATCGCTGGCCGGTCATTTGCGCTGCAGCGGCGGAGGAAAAGGTAATTTTATTTAGTGCCCCGTGGCTAGGGGAACGTTGATTAAATAACTATCGTGTAAAAACCACCCCACCGGCCGCCACCGGCGAAGAGGCTTAACAATTGCGCTCGAGACAAAATATATATAGGTTATAATGTATATACATATACACACACATTATTTATAACGCGCTATGGTAGGAAAGAGGTGAAGGGAAATGAGGGGGAAAAAAATAGAAACTTTTCACTCGTCTTTGTCGTCCAGTTATTTATTTTATTATTTTATCCTTTCCACTCCCCCTTGCCGTGTCTTCCTCGTAGTGCAATCTCGTGTAGTTTGTGCGGTGGACGCGTGGCAAAGCCCTGGCGTGCGTTTTTACGACTCCACCCGAAGCAGCGGCGACAGACCGGTCATAAATAGAAAATTGCCTCGTCTTCTTCGAATTTTCGTCGCGCCATTGTCGTTGCAATAAAAGCAAATTACGTGTGCACAATCACGCCTACAATCACCGCCGATTGTCACCCGTTCGTGGTCATGTACTTGTAAACAGCCACGGTGCTGGCATTACATTTTTGACTAGGCAAACATTTGGTACCGTTCTAAGTTCTAGACAAGTCTTACACTTTTTTCTTTCAAAAACTGTCACTATTGAACGTGGTTACGATTTTATCATTTGATGTGCAATGATATACGAATTAATTATAATTGGCGGCTCGTAGTGGCTACATGCTTAACGTCTAAACTCATTTTGTTTTCCCAGAGGTTAGAACGGTCATCGGTCATCTTATTTCTAAGTCGTGGTAAGTGGCTAAGATAAAAGTTATGTCCAGTTTCTCACAGAGAGTCAATCATGCGCTATTTGTATTATTTTATATGTTTTTGTAGTTCTTTGTATATAATTTGTGTACACAATTAAAAACCGTTGCCTCCAAGGTGATGTTCATCGATATCTAGTCGGACAACTAAATGTAGAAAATATACCTTCAAAAAAAAACATCGCATTGGTCAACGCAAAGTAAACCTTCCTTTCATTCATCAATTTATTTTGTCAATTATAAAAATATGATCCTGAAATATTATATACAGGGTGTGGCTTAATGGACTCCCATATTTCAAATAATCATTAGCGCGTAATTAAACTGATTAGATTAAAGTGGTTTATTTCGCTAGATTAGATTATTAATAAGGTTTTTAGTCGTCACCATGCCGTGGTCTGGTGAACAACGTGGTTTCGTTATTGAGGCATTTTTCAAAAACGCTGAATGTGTGATTGCGACACAGAGAGCATTTCGCACTCGGCTCAGTTTGAATCCAAACGAAAGTGTCCCTGATCGGAAAACGATTTTGAATTGGGTACAAAATTTAAGAGCGACGGGATCTGCAATGCCTAAAAAACCAGTTGGACGTCCCAAGTCCGCGATTCCACTCGATATGCTGGCAAAAGTGATGGAAAACTTTCGAGAACGGCTCCATATGTGCGTTGCTCGTCAAGACAATCATTTAGACGATATAATTTTTAAAAACTAATTTAAAAAAACCTTATATAATATAGTTTTTAAAAATAAAAATTTTTTTCTTTATCTTGTATCGTTTTTTTTAAATTCACTTCTGAAATGTGGGAGTCCATTATGCCGTACCTGTAGTAAAAACAATTAAAACCTAGTATATATTTTAAAAGCATTTCAAGTGGACTAGCGGGAATCTGCTAGCTTAAAGAGATCAGAAAATGTAGAAAAAATATTAATATTACAATATTTATTATTTTAATGATCGTTCAATGTATACATGCTTAGAAGAAGGAGAAATTCGTCGTGTGGTTTTGACAGCAAAAAAAATTGTATCAAAAAATCTGCTGGTTGTCGTTAAAAAGTCTACAAGACATAATCGAATTGGTTCGAAAATCATAATAAGACAGACCTCCTCGTATATTTTAATGTAGTAGCACATTGTGATTTTATTGAATGTCATTAAAACGACGCTCAAAAGTAGAATACTTCATAAAATATTTGAGATTTTTACGACATCTTATCGTTTTTTATGCTTAGTTGTTATTTCAAACATAAATATAAAAATACAAGAATAAAATGTAATTTCTAATGACGCATAGCACTGGTTTTGGCTACATTAAATAAAAATGTGTGGTCGTAAACTTATAGCACTGATTAAAAATTACAGTCATAAATAAATTGATTAGTTGATCGATATAGGTATAATATTATTTCAAGTCTTAACGTAAAAAACTACACGTTGTTGTAGAATGATTATAAAAATAATATCAATGTGAAATTTAAAACAAACGGTAACAATAATTTAAATGTAATGAGAAAAGTTGTTTGGAATTAAATTGAAAATTTTAAAACATCATGACGTAAGAATTTGCTATGGTCAAGGTTAACATAATCAATATTTAAAACCATTATCTTATTACACTCATATTTTCTAATGTTAAAGTTTATTCTGAATACCTGACGCGAGGTACTGAATAAAAAGTCTCGGGGATTAGAGAGATGCGTTGCTCGAAATAGTGCGAAAAGTTTTCCACGAACCCGAGTCTCAAAAGTATATTTTTTTCTCTACAATTTTCTTGAACGTACCGTCGTTGTATAATATAAAAACCGGCAAATCGTTCTGTAAATATATAATCGTATTAGGTCGCCTATGTATACGTATATATACTTGAATATTGTATCCGCATCCGGCGCTGTAAAAACGTTCCGTCGGGTAACGTTATATAGTCTATTATTGGTATATAGAGGTACCTAATGCCTATATATTTATATACAATATAAATATATATATATATAGTTTATCTATATTATACGCCGCAGCTAATCGAATTCCCTTCACGTTCGATTCGGAATAACGGCCAAGCTCGCTCAATACACATTGTTTCGAGCGTTTTAATTTACTGCGCGGGGTCCGCCCGTCGTTTCGCGTCCACTGCACTCGTGAAATTTGCGGTCGTTATATCCGGAAAAGTATATAACACGCATTCCGGTTGTCGTTTATCCCGAAACGAGTTTTTCGGACGTCCCTTTCGGCATTTCGCGGCCGTCGATCTCGGCCGCAAACCGTTCAGCCGGCCGATTGCAAAATCCGTAAGTCCGTTATTTTTAAACTTCACTAATATAATAAAACGTTGTTACGTATAATATAATATAAATATATTATTGAGTTCATAATTTACGAAGTCACGTGGATCGATTTCGCACTGTATGTGCGGAAAATTAGTCTAATACCTCACTTCAATATCCCACTTGGGAGTTGGGGTTAAGTATAATATAGTTATATTAGTATCTATAACAACGTCCTCGTCACGCATGAGAAACACTTCCATTTACGACCTCTTTGTAGGATAGTATTATAATTGATAACATCTTATTTTGAGTGTTTTTCTAATTTGTTGCTGTCGTTTTGAGATCAGTCAATAAGGTTACTGATTTTTCCGTATACTATGTAACTTGACTGTCATAAGATTCTAAATTGGGTCTCACCAAACTTCTGTAGAATGCCACGGGATATTTCCCTCATTTTTGTCTACTGTGAAAGCAAATGATATTTGCAAGCTTGTAACGAGTGGCAATACTACACTTTTAAAATCGGACTAAAAAATACTGATTATTGAGACTGACAGCAAGATATCTATCTCATTGAGATGATTTTAATGCAAGACCCATAAATGTATCTCATGGCAATATTGGCAACAAAAGAAGTGTGGCAGTCAAGTTGATATGTATAAGGAAGCGGAGAAGTACGAATGATTTAGTTTTCAGTATTCACACACTCTCTCCGCGAGGACTAACACTCACCGTGGGTAGAATACACCTACACAACTGCAGAGTGTTTTCAGAACTTTTATCATGAAATCTAAGCCCGATTGGATAGTTAGTTGTAATTATGCACGAAACGCTAATTCATTTCGAATTTTGCGAACACTGAAACATTGGTAAGTACATTATAATATAGTTTTATTTTACAACAGAACGTTTTTGTAATTTACATTCGACAGCACCTCTATTAGTGTGTCATTGGGAACTAACACCTTTATCCATTTTAATTTTAACGAACAGTTAAAAAGAAATATTATGGCCAATATTAAAAACACAATATCCATTTTAATATCATATATCATTAAAATTTAAAAGTTTGGAAAATGGTTACATATTTAAAACAGATATAATATAGGTTTGTCCATTTGTATAATATCAATAGAAAATAGCAAAACGGTTTGATTTAATTTGAATGATTGTGCACACTCACCGATTTGTTACCGAGCTGCTTGACCCTGCATGGCATGTAAGCGTGGCCGCCCAATTGAGTGGTGATGTTTGACGATACGGACGTGTCGAAAAACGGCCTGACCAAAAAATCGGACACCTGTTTCTTCTGCTGCTGAGGGTTGTATTTTTCTGGAAAAATAAGAGAAAAAAAAATTACGATTATTGCTCCATCCACATTCAACCATCCAGTCGAGTGTTTTCTCTTCTGGCGCTGCGTGTACGCGCCTCGCACAATATACTAATTGGGGTCGAGCGCTTAATGACCTTCTAGGCGGTGGGTTTTATCGTTAAAAGTTTCCCCTCCCCAACTGCTGAACCTCGCGACGTAAACGTTCATTTCGAATACCATTAAACCCGTGTGCGGCACCTATATATTATAATAAAATGTAATATACAGTGTGGGCAGTGCAGCGTTTCGCCGGTTCTCCTGAGTCGGCTACATGATGCATGTGCATGCGATGGCCTATGTACAAACCCGAGATGACACACACCCTATAATGTCGAACGCATAATAATGTATATCTGACGAGAAGCGCATAAAAAAAAGACGTACGCCGGGGCTCGAAAATTACTATGTTCGAAAGAATGCATACAAACGAAAGCGTTCGTTTTTTCGACGATTGCACTCTCGAATGCATTCAATTCATAAATAATGAACGACGAAAGAGTACACGTCATATTCGTTTTATTCGCAAACGTGAATAAAAAACGAATTCATTTTTAAATTCAAAATATTATATACAATTTGTATTGTTCTATACTCTGAAAATATTTTCTTTAAGAACTATAGCAGCAGTGGGTATACACACGCACACGAACAAAAATACTTCAGTTATATTCCACACGTTTGCCTCTTTTAAGGCTTTGGTGTAGGTACTCTAGACAGGCAGATTTTTTTCAGGTGACTTCTTTTATTCATACGATTATTGAATTGTCCCTCGACTGTTTTAAATAAAACATTTTATAACATAAATAAAATCTGACGCTACCTAAATCGAATTATTCTGTATAATATAATATTATTTTTTTATATTTATTATTAATTATTTTATGTTTTGGAACAAAAAATGTGTACTACTTTGTTTGTTTATTATTATTCGATATTATTCATAACATGATTTGAGTAAAAACAAACACGAATGATCAAAAAATGTGTACTACTTTGTTTGTTTATTATCATTCGATATTATTTATAACATGATTTGAGAAAAAACAAACATGTACGGCGTATAGTTTTTGAAAAAAAATAAATTCTAAATGCAATTCACATTCAATTTGAAAGTAAATGGGTATGTAAATGCGAGAGAGAATGCATTCAATTTCAAATTTATTATGCTCCAAACGCTGGTTAAAACTAAATAATCGTGATAGTCATCGTGTTCGTTCGTGACACCGATGTTTCGACATTGTTTAAGCGTTTTGTTATGCGGTTAAGTGCGCTGGTGAACTGTGTTAAAAACTGGCTTAAGACGAAAGTTTTTCGTTTTTGTGGTCTAGAAAATTGTTTCAAGCCGCCGACGTTTTAATTAAGAACGTACAACCACGGTGTTTTTCAGTTCCTCGGCACATTGAAAAAAATAAATACTCACAGATGGTTTTTACGTCGAAAGTTTAATGCTTTGAGTAATGTTTTTAATTTGCGTGATTATCTAAATACTTTTTTTTTACAATAATAATAATAATAATAATAGTAATAAAAAAATAAATTATCCAAGTACATTAAAGCTAATCTTATTCTAGCATTTTATTATTTCTTAAAATGTATCAGTACCTTGAGTATACATATTCTTATAGTGTTTTTGGTTGATTTTTGTAGATATTATATATGATATAATTGTAATTTTTGTAATTTTTGTAATTTAACACGTGTCATAAGGAAATCAGGGTTTTTATAGTACTGAAATTTTAATAAGGCATCTTCCTCACTAATTTGCCATACACATTTCGAATTTCATAAATTTTTTATTTAAAAAATAATTAAATAATTACTTGTATTCATTGAGTATTACCTAAGTTTTAATTAGTTTATGACATAACTTTTGTCGTATTCTTGTAGACAGTTTGTGTTACAGAAATGGAACATGAGTTAGACCCGAAAGCCAGGGCTCATATTATGCTTGATGCAAGTGTGATTTATGTAAAAAAAAAAATAAAATGCAAAGATTAAAATAAATACGGTACCTTTTATTTGTGAAACATAATTAAATTAAATTTAAGAATTTATTAAATATTATTTATTTATGGTTGATTTTTGTTTTATTTTATAACTTATGGATAATTCAAAATAAGAAACTACATGTACAAGTACAATGTGGTTTTCAATTCACTCAGTAAAAATTCAAAACAACCATTGTTTTGAATACTCGCATAATTATAAATAACATGTTATTTTAATTACGTGTTTCAGTTCCAACGGTTAATAAGTTTATATAATTAAAAAAAAATATATCTTTTATTTGATTCAATCAATTGTATACTTTAAACAATACTTTATAATACTTTAAATAATTATTATAGAATATATGTCATGCTGTGAAAAATAAAATACCGAATGAATCTTTTTGAATCCTAAATATTTTATGTGTCTCTAACTAAATATAAGATACTTGGGCATCATAACTGGATAAAAATTCAGAAATACTATTCAACAATATTATCTAATAATAATAAAGAAAATAGTTATAAAATCAATAGATTATACTATTATATTATTATGTAGCTTTGTTCTGTTTATACATTTTATTTTATCTCTCTTCGAATATATGCGTTTAAATTAAAAGTATTTGAATTTTTGTGATATAGTTTAAGTAACATGGAATTCACATTAATTAGTAGTTAGTTGATTTACATAATATGAAAATATGTTTTTTTAGTAATTACAATTATCTATAAATTATTTTCGAATTTAGAAACATAAAACAATATTTTTAAAAATCTTTAAATTACCTATGAATCCCAAATACATATCTCAATAAATTACGTTTTCCCTGACTTAGGGATGTCTAATACTATACATTTCGTGGTTAAGTTTGTAGCCCGTTATGTGTACACCTAAAAATTCTTCTTTTTTTAAATTCTACATACTATTATAATTTTAAAGAGGTATAGTATTTGTTTATATTTGTGTGAATTTGTTTTTAATTCAAATTGATATTTATCATTTGTTGGTGAAATTTGAAAATTTGTTATTCGCTTATTTATTATTTTAATAGTCTAGATTTTTTTGTGTAAAGAGTTTAAAAAAAAAAAAAGACGTTTCATTGTATCATGTTAGTCTTGTTGTCTTAATAGTACCATAAACTACGATGTACGATACCTGATTATTACTGTTTGCATAGATCTGTTCATGATTTACGAAAATACCGGCATCGTTAGACTATACAATTAGGACTGGAGACTTAACTATATAATAATGGCACTCTATATGCGCCACACAACTACGCGGGGAAATCAATTACTAGTACGACATTATTATGTTTTGATCGTTCAAATCGCGAGTCATATAAATTCATAAAATTCAAGTTTCATACGTCATACACACTGGCCCAATGATCGGGGTATTGTTTTCGTTTACACGTGCATAATGTCTTTTTCGAACTGTACGGATTGATCAAGTACTCATATTATTATAATGCATAAACCACAATACGGTGGTCGTATGGTTATTATAATTTATATTCGGCACATACGCGGGGCCAATCCATATATTTTTGTTGAAATTCTAGAACACACCTATGGTAATAATAATTATTATATCATCGCAAAACCGTTTATCGGCCATTGTATTGCCAAATTCCATTATGTTTAATAATAATATTATTATCTAGCGGGACCACGCGACGGCACGGTGTAATAACGACGTGGCCCGGCAAAATAATAATATACAATCCCGTATCGCCGTTTACACTTTACGATGTGACGGACCATTATCAAAACGAATGCATCGATGGTTTGTGGGTCAACCTTTTGACGTCTGTTATCCTGATCGAGGAGTTGAATCACAGTGAATGTAATGGACGTTTTTCGTTCAATAAACTATACGCAGTACACACACAACTACACGGTTTATATCGTTGTTGTGTGCCGCAGTAATAATTTATTTCTAATCAATTTTCTCATTTCAACTAATTATTCACATTTCTTTTCTCAAACGGAACCACGGCCGCGGAGTACAATCGTACCAAGGAATCGAAATTCGTCTAAAACGCCTCGAGATAAGTTTCCGTCTTCTGTGGGCGGGAACAGCATACGCCGTTTTATCCGCCGCTCTTTGACTTTTTCTCGGTTTATAATTATTATAATCGTTATTTGATGTGCATTTTGTCAGGACCCTTAATTAATTCGTAACTAAAACAATAGTGGCTTTACCTTAATTTTACATTTTTCGTATGGACGTAGTATAAATTCACTCATGCCGCATAACATTTGTTCGCTAGGTATAATATAATATGTACTTGTTTTTTTTTGTCTCTCGTTGTTATACTCGTCTATAGCATTTGTACGCACATCGCATACGGGTACAATAGAAGGACAACCACTCGGTATTCATAATATTATTATATAATACAGCCTTTACTTTATTGTTATATGTTTTCCCTTGATGTGGTTAAAATATTGTACTTTGGATGATTAATTTCTGAAGATAAAAATTCTCAAAGTAAAATGTATTATTATACACAGAGGTAAAAAAAAAACCGCTGAAACACTAGAACCGAAGTATTATAAGAAGTTTCCATAATTATTTCAAAACTTTCTATATATATATATTTTTATACATATTATTACATCTCCTGAAACGAAAGCATATTTTGCATATGATTCTTTTTAAAAAATTAAAACGAGGAAAAACAATTATAATGAGGGCTTGTTTTACCCTACTCAGAAAATATTAATTTGTTCAAGAGATTTTTTGAGAGGGTCAGAATTTTTAGGATATCTACATAATTTAATTTTAATTATAACAAACTAAATAATTTAAAATCAAGTAATTTCTTCTAATTACTTAAGTTTTTTTATTTTTGGTTTATGGGCGTCTAGTACGCTAAATGCACAATTTAAAAACAATATAATATGTTATTTATTATTACTATTTTAAATGTATTCTAATACATAATATGTAATATGTATAC